TATGTTTTAGTGCTTCGTTAGTGCTTCAAATAGTTTCGAAAGTTCTTTTCTTATTTCTTAGATATTTTAGATTTTTACTTCAAGGTCAGCCTTCAAAAATTTTCCGAATTACTCAATTTTGCTGTCAGTTTTTAGTGCTTCGTTAGTGCTTCTTAATGCTTCAAACGGTTGCATTCAAGAATACTTCCTTTTTGAGATATTCAACTTTTAATTTTCAAGGTCAGCCCTCAAATCATATGGGATTGAGTTAAATCTAGAGTCGTTTTTTTGCGCATCGTTAGTGCTTTTCAGTGCTTCAGATAGTTTCCTTAATACTCTTTCCGTATTCTGATTTTATTTTAAAATTTACCAACCAAACTTGTTCCAAAATGTACAAAAAACACAGGGACGCCACTGAAGCCAACATCGGTTTACTAAATTACCATAAAAGAGAGATAGAGAGTGCCCCTTCCCTTTCCTCCATATTAGGAACCCAAGGATAATACACACTACTTAAGGATTGCTTATCGGCCTTGTTTTTGGTTATCGCCGCCATATTGGTGTGTCACCATTGCCAACGTCATTAACAAGTCGTCAGCTGTTTGCACTAGAGGTCGTAGCTTAGAATAATTCAAATTTATGATAAAAAATATTGTTTAATTTTGATCAACATAATAGGCAAAGAGGAAGATGAAAGCGAGATCTAAATAAAGGGTTGTTTTAGAATGTTAATTATTAATGTAGTAAAACCGAGAATAAAACCAAGTATGCATTATGAAGCCAAAGCCCGCGGAATCATAACCTATAGTGCAAAAGGCCTACGTACATCCGAGAAAGGACATGCCTACGTCACAACTGCTGATTTGGTGTATCATCCTTGCTATGAACCGATGTTGGCTTCAGTGGCGTTCCTGTGTTTTTTGTACATTTGAAATAAGTTTGGGTGCTAATTTTAAAATCAAAAATACTAAATAATCAGAATACGGAAAGAGCATTAGGAAAACTTTATAAAGCACTAAAAAGCACTAACGATGCGCCAAAAAAACGACTCTAGATTTAACTCAATCCCATATAATTTGAGGGCTGACCTTGAAAATTTAAAGTTAAATATCTCAAAAAGGAAATATTCTCGAATGCAATTGTTTGAAGCACTAACGAAGCACTAAAAACTGACACCAAAATTGAGTAATTCGGAAAACTTTTGGGGGCTGACCTTGAAGTGAAAATCTAAAATATCTAAGAAATAAGAAAAGCACTTTCGAAACTATTTGAAGCACTAACGAAGCACTAAAACATAGTAACAAATTCCGTTCATTTTGACAGATTGCCAGGGCTGACCTTGAAACTGCAAAAAAATCGATATACAGAAAACGAAAAAAGCACTAACGAAAACAATTGAAGCACTAACAAAAAACATATTTTTCCAAAAAAAATTTAATACTTTAGGGGCAAACTTCACGGACCTCCAAAATAGGCCTAATTTTCGCCCTTTTGTCAAATTTTAAGGATGATGCGTCAACCGTACGGTGCGGTTAAGTTGAAAATCGGATTCAGCACCCTAAAAAACATAAAGAGCCGTTCAGAAACCTAAATCTGGATTTTTTTCTCGAAAAGCCTCTTTTTTGATTTTATTGCGCAATACAGGGTGTCACGAAAGGTTTGTTACAAACTTCTAGGGATGGTAGATGTCGTATAAATAACGCTTTTTTCTTAATAAACATGTGTCCGTTTCCGTTCGTTTTCCAGATATACAAGGTGTAAAATTTTGTAGAAAAAAATCAATTTTTACATTAATTCTCAGAGGTGCGTGCGTTTTTGAAAAAAATTTTTTTTTTTTTTTTTTGTTTATTTTTGAGCAAAAAATAGCGTGGTAAAATTTCAAGTAATTCTGTGGCAATTTATTTTTTATTTATGGAGGTCAGTGACATTCGTGGTTCGCCTGAAATAGTTTTTAAATTTTATCTCGAAAACAAAGCAGCATACGGAAAAAAATTAAGAGACAAAAAAGTTGTATTTTTAAGTGTTCTATTCAAAAAACATAACCTTATTAAAAATAAATCTACTGGACGATGTTTTTCGTGCAAAAAACCATCCGACAGAACCTGTGGCACGTCCCTGGAATTACTGGGTCAACTCTGAGCAGTCCAAAAGATACCTCAGAAAGGTGTCAACAAACTATGGAAATTTCGTTTAATTCGTCCAACGCATTTCTGAGAAATAATAAAAAAATTGGCTTTTTTTTACAAAGTTTAACACCCTGTATCTGGAAAGCAAAGCATTTCCGGGCATATGTTTATTAAAAAAAAACTTAATTTTTACGTGATCTACCATCCCTAGAAGTTTGTAACAAACCTTTCGTGACACCCTGTATAAAGTCTGTTTTTTTTTAAAGATAAAAGTCAATATGACATTTTGTTTGCAACACAATGTAAATTTGTCAATGCTTTCCTGTGATGCTTTCAAATTATTTATGTAGAAAGAGCGGGAGAGAGGGAATTATCTTTAAAAAAAACAGACTAAGTCTGTTTTTTTTTAAGATAATTCCCCAAGTCAAAAATTTAGTAACTATGTATGTTGGCAACACGAGCCTTTTCTACATAAAAAATTTGAAAGATTGACAATTTTACATTGCAATGCCAACATAATGTCATTTTGACTTTTATCTTTAAAAAAAAAACAGATTTTACATAGATTTTGTTTCACGAGGGTTCATACGTTTGACATAATTTAAATTCCTTCTTTAACAAATAGAAATTGACTTAATCAAATCAATGACGTCAAAAACGTTCGTCGTTTCTTGAACCAGAAGGCATTCATTCTAATTTGTCAAAAAAATTGAATGTGTCATATGAATTAATCTAAAATCTGTTTTTTTTTTTAAAGATAAAAGTCAAAATGACATTATGTTGGCAATATAATGTAAAATTGTCAATACTTTCAAATTTTTTATGTAGAAAACGCTTGCGTTGCCAACATAGTTACTAAATTTTTGACTTGGGGAATTATCTTTAAAAAAAAAAACGAACTTTACGACAACCCTTTTTTTTTCAAGTATCAAGGTCAAGTATGAACCCTGGTAAAACGGTCTGTATGTATTAGTCGGGTTGAATTCAATAGGAATAATTTATTTATTTTTCAATTCGGTACAACTAAAATACTTGGGCAATTGGCAAATTAACGGCAGCTGGCAAAATTACTATACATTATATTCGCCTAATATCCTGGGCCATTCTGACACCTTTTTGAACGCCAGTAGGCCTGGCTACTTAATAGTCGTGTATTCTACAAAAATACACTGACATTTTTCTTAACAAACCGCAAACAGTACAGAACAGAACATAGAGGGAAATTACAAAAATACAATTAAACTAAAACATAATAAAGTAGCCTACATATTATACAAAATACATAGACGATTATTTCATGCCATAAATAATTTCTGGGCACCAAATTACAATAGAGAAAGAAACAAACATTTCAAATTCAACAGCATAAATGGAGAAATGTAATTTGAACAAAAAGAAAAAGCAGTTACTATCTTCCAGAGTGACTATGAAAGATTGTTAAATATATTCGTGCTCATATAAAATATTGAATTTTGTGTGAAGGACTTTATAAGCCTAAGCTTTCCTATTCGTGCACTTCACATGAAATAAATAGGAAACATGCCGAGATATCATTGATAAACAAGTTGAAGAGCAAAGGATTGATGTGAGAACTCTGGGAAATCCTAAAAGATACTATAATCTCAGAAACCTTGTAATTATTCGCTTGGAATAGATGACAGCGATTTCTCAAGTAGCTCTCAATTCAGCGCAACAGAGAGCCAGAAATTCCAAAGGCATGCAAAACATCCAATGATCCACCACAGTCAGTGTTGATGGATTAGAGCTCAGATCTGTCCTCCAAGGATTCGTGCAAGGTATCCATGTACAAAACGAGCGTCACTTCAGTATTACTACCTGCAAAAAGACCAAGTTGCTCCTAACGTTGAAACGCCTCAATGTTAAAATAAACGATGATCAGCCTCAAGACGTTGAATATGCTTATAGGCGGATACTTTTGTACCATCTCCTTGTGCATGAGCAGAATCCGATGAATGTCATCTGAACTTTTTCAGGGGCAGAGACTCTCCAGCCCAAACCATGTCAAAAGTTTCTGTTGCATCAGGTACTATCTAATTTCAGTCGGGGATATATCGGATGCTAGAGTCACCCGGCTTGAATATAGCAAGTCAATATCCAGATAAGATAAATGTGTTTTTATTTCCTTAGGCAGCTGGCTGAAAAATACACAGTCTTGTCTTATTGAAGGCCTAAAAAACTTCAACTGCCGTCAAAAAAGTGTCATTATGGCCTGTAGGTGATTTGAACAAAGCTAAAATATAAGTACCTACACATTAAACGGTTCAACACACAATTATTCAATTGCAACCATTATTAATTATGATATTATTGCTGAACATTAAAAACAACAGAGTCTTCAGGAGCCAGATTATAATCTTTGCAAATTATAGATGGGAGAATGTATTCTAAAAGGGCTACCTTTAAAGTATTTGGTTCATGAGGGTTTCCAAAATTCCGATTGTTAGTTTCTGTGTTTGGATTAAAAAACATATTTGACGAAAAAAATAAGAATCCAGCGCAGTTTCTTATAAGAGTGCAAACATATTATTCAATTTTTAACTTTTTTTATCATTTGATGTAAATTTCAGGTCGTTATTAACTTAGGCGAGGTACAGTGCTTTTGGATGCAACAAGGCTCAATTTAGCAAATAGAGCCACTCTCGTATAATTTTCGCGATTTTGATTTTTTTACTGATAGATTTGTGTTAATAAGAAAAGGCTAATTGATTTGATATGCCCTTATTAGACTTATATAACAATAATTATTGAACAATATTTAACTTAATATTAGCCTTCTCTTGAGCACTTTGCGTGTAATTTTTTATTTTAAGTTAATATTAGTTTAGTTATTACCATTGATGTTTTTTTTTACTAATATTAATTTTCTGTATGAAGGGTTCAGAACAAGAGCTTTTGGATGAAATTGAAGTTTATTAGAAAATAAAAAATCAAAAAAGTCCTTAAGAAGCGTTGTCGTGAAAAAATATCAAGACACTCTCGTATCGCAATCAAGAATTCGCTTTTTGAAGAACCCGAAAAAAAAAATGAAATTTGTCTCATTGGGAAGTCCTCAATTATCTCGCGTACGAAAAAAGAAAATTTATGGATCAGGACGTCATATTTTAATATCTTATTTTTATTAATCCTGATACTCCTATCCTTATCCATCTCCTTGGCCTTTTTTTTTTATAACCAAGGCTTTCCTTATTAACAATAAACTTCTTTTTCAATTTCTTCCACACATGAAACTTGAGAAATTTTAATTTAAGTTTTTTTTTGGTGAGTATAATAGAATAGCAATTAGTAGTTCAGATGTGTCACATTTTGTGTGTTTAAATTTGGAAAGGCAAATTTTTGGTTTAAAGATGCTTTTTTGAAATGTGATAAAATTATTGTATGAAAAGACTTGGAAGACCGAACAATGTACAAATAATTAGAGGAACTCGTCTGATAACATTTGTTGTAAATTTTTGGGTCTATCAATAATAATTTGCCTCTCATTGTAATCTAAAATGTTTCCATGCCTGTAATTTAATAATTTCTAGATTTAAATAATAAATTATTTGTGCTTGGATGTTTTTCTTTTATTTCCTATACATATTTAATTTACATATCTACAACTTCAGACTTTTCGTTTTCTCCTTGTTTCTGAGTATCTTCTTCTATTGCTTTCGCTTCAGGCCAACACCTAATACAATATATAATAATTAGACATAAGACATTAAAATTCTTAAGATATCAATGATGCCTCGATCGCAGTAGAGCTTGCGGCCACAGTTTTAAATTAATATACTGTTAGATATGTATAGTCCATTGATATTGATATTAATTATCATTAGGAAAATAAAATTGGTTTTGGTATTTGGAGATTATACGCACCAAAGAGAAAGTTTTCAAAAACAACAGAGTTCAAGTTAGAATTGTAAGCTACCACCCCTTACAAGCATTGTAGTTGTTTTTAAAACTTCACTGCATAAAAAACTACCCCGACACTTTCTTATCACTTCAAATATTCTCTTTTGTACAAACACAGTGATGAACAACCCCAAAAAATAATTCCATTTTGAGAAACGATACCTATTCCACATAGGTATCCAATCTTCCCTGTATGGTTTGCTTAGGCTAACATTTCATTGGAGTCGATCTTATTAATTACAAAATTACATCATAACTTAAAACTAACCTAAACACTTTACTGCACTCTCGATTTGCGATATGATATTTTTCGAGGATTTTTCGCATGTTTTGTGTTACAGTAGATACTGTGTCGCGCTAATTCAGGTGTGTTCTCAGCTCTCCTGATCAAAGTGGCTCCAGGTATTCAAAGTAGATGGGTAGTTTGTGATGTATGGGTCTATATTTTACTGGGTTTGGAGGATTTCAGGGAAGTTAGCAACACATTCGGAGCAGGATCGCTAAAACATGTTCCTGCTTGTGCTGCTATGGTCCTGCCTTATCCTGCTCCAAATCTGACCCCAGCAACACGTACTATTTTCCAGATTCAGCGATTTTCATTATGGTTGCTAACTTCACCCTTGGCAACACAACACATTGAAAGCAGGATCGCTAAAACAGGTTCCCGCTTGTGCTGCTATAGTCGTGCCTCATCCTGCTTTAAATCTGACTCCAGCAACACGTACTATTTTCGAGATACAGCGATTTTTATTTTGGTTCGTAACTTCACCCTTGGCTTGAGAACACATTGGATTTATTGGAAGCAGGATCGCTCAAACATGTTCCTGCTTGTGTTGCTATGGTCCTGCCCTGCCTCATTCTGTTCCCATTTTCACCCCAGCAACACCTAATATTTTTGAGATACACACTGGTAACATTCCAAGAGTCTAGTCTTAGGAATAGGAAGAGCTCGAGACACCGTTGCCAAATATATCGTAATGAGTGCTTGTCTCTGTATGTGGGTATTTTAGAGGAAAAGAGCTAATCCAAACTAACCCGTCCCTCTGTGATGAATGCGAGCCTCTGTGTCTTGGTATTTTAGATAGAAAAAGCTAATTCAAGGATTGAATTGAAACTGACTCGTCCTGGGATAGGTGGCCTGCTCTCTACGCTTCTGTAGGGTTTTTATTTTTATTTTTTTCTTAAAGATTATTAGGAGGACGGGTTAGTTTCAATTCAATCCTTGGATTAGTTCTTTTCGTCTAAAATACCAACATTCAGAGACAAGCACTCATTACGATATATACAGGGTGGTCCAACGAAAACTTATCACATCGATTTTCCGGCTTTAAAATGAAAATGTGGAAAATTGCTCGGACTCGTCGATTTCTGATTCGAGGGGGAAGAATTTTTCCGCTTTTTTCATCCCCGTAACTTCAACCCCCTGACGGGGGTGAGCACAACCCCTTGATTTTGAATAGAGATGAGGGGTGTTGCGATACCTCATTTTGAAGATCTTATCGAGTACTATCTGACCCTAAAATTTCGCTTCAAAATTTTCATCGATAATGAAATAACAGCTAAAATAGTGAGAGACACAGGCCTATGATGTATCCTCTCCTGTTATTTTAACAGTTGTGTTATTGCTCAAAACCTATACCTGTCTCTATTTTTACGTGTAGAATAAACAGTGACAGATAACTTAACGTTGCTGTTAAAATAACAGAAAATGATACATCATAGGCCTGAATCAGGCCTTGTATCATTCAGGCCTATGATGTATCATTTTCCGTTATTTTAACAGCAACGTTAAGTTCTCTATCACTGTTTATTCTATACGAAAAAATAGAGACAGCAATAGATGATGAGCCATAACACAGCCGTTAAACTAACAGGACTGGATACATCATAGGCCTGATTTTCTGTTCTTTTAACAGCAACGTTAAGTTATCTGTCACTGTTTATTCTACACGTAAAAATAGTGACAGGTATAGATTTCAAGCTATAACGCAACTGTTAAAATAACAGGACAGGATACATCATAGACCTGAATAATGTGGAATTTACCTCGAGGATATTATTCTTATCAGACGCATTTCAAAGGTATTTATTTATTAATTTTTTGTCCAAAAAAGTAGACGGACCATGTTTTTCATTTAATTTAGTCTATCGTGAATGTTTAAACGTTAAAACTGTGTCAAAGCGATTGCAAATTTGTAGTAAAGTTAAAATGGTGTATTCCGTAGAAGAAAGGGTGGAAATGATAAAATTATTTTTTAGAAATAACGACTCTGCACGAGTAACAGCGGAACAGCGGATTTATTTAACGAACGACATCCTGGAAATATTGTATCCGCTACTTACGTTGTGCAACTGGTTGCCTCTGACCAGAGCTGGGATCGTTACTTGAAAAAAGTAACGCGTTACTTTACAGTTACTTTTGCTCAAAAATAACTCGTTACTTAAAATTTACAGTTACTTTCGAATAATGATAACTTTATTTTCGTTACTTATTGGAAAGTAACGCGTTACTGTAACTTCTTTACTTTGAAAGTAACTTCTTTACTTTAGAAGTAGTTCGTTACTTAAAAGTAGCTCGTTATTTGAAAGTAACCCGTTACCTCAATGCGTTAGTTTGAAATAAAGCGCTTAATAGAGAGTTCTCGTACCTCAGACGCTACGCCAATACGGTACCGCTAACAATACGGTATTTTACATGGTATTTAATAGTTATCGGACACGAAGACACAAAAATCCTCTCATCCCTTATTCTGTTTACGTTTTGACAGCTGAGTTGAGTGATCTAACCCCCTTTTTTTTGCTTGTTTTCTTACTTTTTAGGTCTGTTTCTGCAGAAATCACAAACCAGTCAGAGTGAATTTCGCATTGGTCGAAATTAGTTTTCTGACTGTTTCTGACTGTTTTCAACCAATGAAATTCGCTCTGACTGGTTTGTGATTTCTGCAGAAACAGACGTATTATTTATCCTAAAAGATTCTGAGTTTGAATAATTTTCAGAGCGGAAACTAATTTTGACATAAAATAGCGTTACGGTAGGCATCCGCTAAGTCCCGTTAGATAGCGGGCTCCGTTAGCGGTAATACCGTAAGAACTGTCATACCTGTCAAATAGCGTTACGATATTTGAAGTTTGGACTGCACGATGAGAACTCTCTATTAACTATTTACGTCGAAAATTGCGTTATTCTTTAATTTGGCTCACCAACACAGCAGTCCAAAGAATCAAATAAGACCTATACGAAATGCCAATATGTTTTTAGTTTGTGAGTCCGACTATGTGGAAGAGTTTTGTTGCAAAATTCAAACGGATTAAGGATTAAGCGCTTAAATAGAGAACTTGGTTTCGGACAAGCCTGCTTTTTGAAGCGTCCCAGTGTCTGCATATATAGTGTCTTTAGAGCAGAGACGACGCGTGCCACGCCGAAAAACGATTATTTTGAGCTTTCAAAACAAATTTTCTGTACTAGCCACATTTTATTTGACATAAAAAGTTTTTGGAATACTTATTTTCCTTTTCCTCAATCGTCAATTATTTGTAAAGAAGAGAAACAAATTGAGAGAACACGTTACTTTCATAGTAACTAGTAACGCGTTACTTCCATATAAACGCGTTATTTTCTTAGAAACGCGTTATTTTCATAGAAACGCGCTACTTCCATTGTAACTCGTTACTTTAACAAAATAACGATCTGCAGTTACTTCAGGAAAGTAACGTCGTTACAGTTACTTATCAATCAATCTGAAAAGTAACGAAGTTACCAAGTAACGCGTTACTTTCAGTAACTCGTTAAAGTAAAGTAACTATTTGTTGTCGTTACTCCCAGCTCTGCCTCTGACGCTACTGGTTCAGTCGGAAACAAAAAGAGGGGGTATGAAAGAGACGAAGCGAGGGAAGTGGCTGCCACCCTTTTAAGATACTATTAGTTCAGGAACTGAATGAGGATGATTTCGATCGCCGACTCCAGTTCTGTGAAGTGGTCAGTAAAATGATTAACGATAATCAAAACTACATGTTCGATATTTGTTTTTCGGACGAGTGTTCATTAAACCTTAACGGCCTTGTAAACAGGCATAAAATTATTTCGTGGAATGCATACTCAGCATCCCCAAAAATCAAATGTTTGGGCGGATATTTATGGAAATCACATAATCGGCCCTTTTTTTATACCCGGTAATCTCACTGGCCAAATTTATTTCGACTATTAGAGAACGTTATTTATCCAGCCCTCGTGCAAATATTGGAGAATGAAAACCATCAAACGATCATTTTTCAACCAGATGGCGCACCACCTCATTACGTTCAACCTGTGCGTCAGTTCTTAGATGAAAATTTTCCTGACGTCTGGATTGGAAGAAGAGGACATATTGAGTGGCCACCCAGATCACCTGATCTGGCTCCACTGGACTTTTTTCTATGGGGTTTCTATAGATTTACGCTACCCAGCCTGAGTCACTGGATGATTTGCGAAATCAAATCATTAATGAATGCCGTCAAATTACACCACAAATGTTGAACAATGTACGTAAACGTTTTCAGCAAAACTTACAAGACTAGCAGCACAAGCAGGAACCTTTTTACGCGATCCTGCTGCCTATGGTGAAGTTAGCCACCATAATAAAAATCGCTGTATCTGGATAATAGTACTTGTTGTCGGGGTCA